AATATGAAGAATGTCGAAGAATGAATGATATTCTTCAATACTTTTTCTGTCAGCCACAATAAAGTTGTTCTTGTAAACTTCCCTTGAATTCCCTTAAATTTTCTTGGACCAACAGAACACAAAGATTTCATTTTTCTTCTCCTACTCAAGATATATATGTTGCATTACTTCATAGCTTACTTGCCCCACTGGCAAAGTAAATGTCATAGGGAGAATTGAATAAGTCATCTACCTCTTCTGTCTTTCCAAAATGCCCCTGGTCTAGCTTATCATTGCTCCTATGGAAAATGTGGCCTTTTAACACAAATAGGACCTTATTATGAAAGAATTTTACAAGTAAGAAATTCATGTGTTTTCTATTGAGATAGTTTTTCAACCAGATATAAGAACAAATCCATCCCCTGAGAACAGTGTTTTATTTCAGATACACTGTTAGGATCAGAAGCCCTCATTTTAGGTAATGATACGTAAATTAATAGTTAACTCTCAGAACTAGATTGTTGGCTCACAAGCGTTGATGACCAGAATGGATATCCTGATATAGCGATAAGAGGTATATATGTCCTTCCAAACACAATGATTTGTGAGTAGAACAAATATGTCCAGATCAATCCCAGGCTGTGGTGAATCAGAGCATTCATTATCTGTATGGCCTGGAAGAGACAAAGACCATCCTTAATCACCTAAAAAGTCCAGGATCAACTTTTCTTTGTGGTACTGAGGATTGAACTGAGAGCCTCATGTTTGCTAGGCAGCTGCTCTCCTATTTGAGCCATGCTTCCAGCCTCCTTTAAATCTATTCTTTTCTTTCTCCTTTTTTTTGCTGGTCCTGGGGCTTTTGAACCCATGACCTGGGTGCTGTCTCTGAGCCTCTTTGTGCTCAAGGCTAGCACTCTATCACTTGAGCCGCAGCACCACTTCCAGCTTTCTTATGAGTAGTTTATTATCGATGAAAGTCTCCCTGGGACTTTCCTTCCAGGGTTGACTTCAAATCACAACCCTCATATCTCAGCCTCCTGAGTAGCTAGGATTATAGTGTGAGCCATTGGTGCTGGCTGCACTGATTATTTTCAAGGCAGGATTTTCAGGCCTGTTGGTTGAAATTTGATCTCGAGAACTTGGTCTTGAATGACCATCCCTAGATCTCTGCCTTCCAAAGAAGCTAGGATTACAGCTTGAGCCCCTGAGCCCAGCCCAAGTCCAAATTTTAAGAGAAACCCACATCCAGAAAGTCCTCAGGTGAAGAAGAAAAATGATGACCACACAGAGTAATTATATCACCCATAATTATTGTATGATATCAGAAAAAGGAGTTGATCTTGACATAATGTTGTAGGGGGAATCGTGCGCCATTTTGTCACATAACCAAGATTCAGAACTGTCATTCATTACAAGATGTTCTGTCTACTGCAGCTTTCTTGTCACCCTTCCCCCCAGCACCTTTAACTTCTTTAGACACTACTCTGTTTTCCAAACTGTTATCACCTGGAGAATTTTAGATACATTCTCTTCAATAAACCTGCTAGTTTGACTTTGACATTAGCTCGTGATCCAACAATTCCAGTGGCTAATGCAACATTGTGGGTGGAAAAGGCACACTCATCCGTCAATATGGGTGGATGCCTGTTGCAGTTGATGAATTTGGCCTGGGGAAACAGTGACATAGCTAATGGGTCATGGTGAAGACGTCACTAGATATTCTATCAGTAGATATTATGACCACTGTCCACAGAACTTATTCTCCACAGGGTCTTTACAGTATAGTTCCCACAATTTGACTTGCTCATAGAGGTCCATGTCATATGGATAGCAAGAGACTTTTTTGCTATTTTCAGACTCAAGGTTAAAGTAGGTTGTGAGGATGTTGGGTGATTTAAATGTAATGGACAGATTCATAATTTCTACCATATTTAATTTTAGTGTGCAGCTTACGTGTTGGGTCTATGTGTACAGATGTACAACCACAGCAGGATGCATTTGGGGATTTCATGATAGATATGGTGGCTGTCTCTTCCTTGTATATTGAGAGAGTACAATACGTGTAGGCATTTTGTCACTTCAAGAGAATTTAGTTCTTACCCCTAGCACTCTCATTTCCTCTCGCATCCATATATGGTTTTGTGGCATTTTCCATTAAGATATAACAGAAGGGAGGGGATAAATGATTTTCTTTTCTGTAAGGAAATAAGGAGATAAAATAATATTAATTATTTTCTTGGACAAGTTATCTGAACTTGAGATGGAATCTATTCTTACAGCTACTCAGATTTCGTTACTTTTCACTATTTCATAGACTGTGGAGAGATTTTTTTCTTTTGCATTTACACTTACAATATTATCTTGACAAAACCCGATGCTTGCTTCTCAAAAATGTTGTTCACTTACCAATTTAATTCAACTAAAATCATGTGGCAGCCGCAAGTTCATCAATCATTCTAGAAATCAAATGTATCTAGAAATCTGTACCCCTATATTGTTGCATCAGAAAAATTAGATTTTTGGTTGATGTGGTAATTACTCGTTTTTTTTCTCTCTTAAATGGTTCAGGGGTGCCTGGATTTCTTAAACCATGTCATATGCTTATGCCAGCTGCAGAAATGGCTGGCAAATAAAGCCCCAGATATTTTATTTTAGAAAAGTAAGCTTCACAAGTTAGGGACCAATGGAAACCCAGAGGTGTTCAACAGGTAAGAAAATGACACCTCAGAGAGAATTGTCATTAAAATCGTGGCTAGCATTTGTTGCTCTATACAATTCATATTGAATAAATTGTGAATTTCATATCCATGAAAATAATCCCTTTTGTATTTGATATCCAAGAAAAGAACCCCCTGATAATTTAATAGCTTCTGTATTAATCTCCATGAAATTGATCTCTTAATCCTAGTTGACATCTAACTCAAGCTGGCCTCAGGAAATATCTTATTTCTTGATTGCTTGGGTTTGTATTTTGTTGAGATGATAAAAAAAAAACAAAACTAGCGGCAGGGGCATTATGGTTTTCTACCCCAATGTACAGAGTTGAAGAGAAAGCAAGCTTTATGCATGACAAGAACAGAGAAGATACTCAGAGAAGGGCAAGAGCAGAACTCCCCAGCTTTCTTATGACTTTCCCCTTTCTGGTTCCAGGTTCAGATATTATCACACTGCTTCTTAATTTTGCCAATTAATTCTGTCTCTTATAACCAAAATATTTGTTGGCTTAAAATGGCTGCCTGACTCTCCTCTCGTGGCTTTGACAATGCAACCTCAATCTCTAACACTTGGTGGCTCTGTCCTTTTTCTTTTAATCACTATCTGTAGATATATTTAAAGTCGAAGATATCATCTTCAAATTATTTTTTGTGTGCCCATACTTGGGCTTGAACACAAGGCCGGGGCATTGGTTCCTGAGCTTTTGTGCTCAAAGCTAGTGTTATCACTTGAGTCACAGCTCCACTTTTGACTTTTTGGTTGTTAATTAGAGATAAAGGACTTTTCTGCCCTGGCTGGCTCTGAATCGCACTCCTCAGGGCTCAGCCTCCTCCTGAGTAGCTATGATGACAGGTGTGAACCACCAGTGCCCGGCCAAATTATTACAAACTTTCCCTTTTCATTGTATAAACCTGTATGAACTCTTACATAGTTGTTCTGGGGACATCCCACTGACGCTTGAAAATAAACGATAATTTTGATCCAAAAGAATCAAACTTGAATTCCAATCTTACCAGATATTATGTAATCTTGTCCGAATCCCTTGCTCTCTCAAAGGCTCCTGTCTCAGCAGCACAAAACAGAAACAAGAGACAACCCGAATCTCTGTGAGGGGGGTCAACGTGGCACGCAGTTGAAAGAAGTGTGGTTACGCCTGTTCTCAGTGTGGTCCGCAATGGCCATGGATCCCTCCGGCTGGCTTGATCGAAGAGCCAGGAAGGGTGTGTGTGTGATCATTTAAGTGTTGCCTTTAGTTACAGATCTTCTGCCCGGCGGGCGCCGCTGGCCCTCTGCGCCCTCATCACCCCTCCTGCCATTCTGACGCAGCGGCGGCGGCCCAGGGCGAGGCTGCGATGGGCATTGCCAGCGGGGGAGGGCCTGGGCCTGCCCTGGGCCTGCCCTGGGCCTGCGGACACCAAGATGGAGCCGGGGAGGACCAGGCCCGCAGGAGCGCGTGGACAGACGCGGCCTGTCCTACCAGCCTTCACCCCACCTGCTGTTGGTGACCGACTCCGACCACAGGCTGTTTTTCTGGCTGCCTCTGTTAGAGGTTTGTCCACACGTGGATGTCTCCTGCTCCCCTTCGCCTCTAGGGAGGTATCAGCAAAAGTATTTCCATTGTTAATCCTCTCAAGGCTTAAAGCAAGAATGCTGTGGAAGCTGGGTGCTTGGGGAAAAGGTTGATCCTGCCTGTTCCTTAGACTGTTTTTCTGTCCATTTGTAATGTATGCTCCATTTCCCTCCTGGGTTCAGACTAATGTACCTTGAAAACTGCCATCAGATTATGAAGGTTAAAATCTACGGATAGAACCTGGTCCCAAAAAGCATTCGAGAGTCCTGATTTGACAGTCACTTCCATGAGGCCCAGGTACCAGGTAGAACTCTTCTAAAAACTTAGTTTAAAAAATTGTGAAGATGCTGTACAGAGGTATTTTGTTAAATGTTGTGTTGTCTTGGGGCCTGAACTCAGAGCCTGGGAACTGTCCCTTATCTTTTTCAGTCAAGGCTGGTGCTCTACCACTGGAGCCACAGCTTTACTTCTGACCTTTTGGTGGTTATTTGGAGATAAGAGTCTCACTTCTGGCTTTTTAATAGCTAATTGGAGATAAGTCTCATGGACTTTGCTGCCCAGGCTGACTTTGAACTATGATCTTCAGATCTCAGCATCCTGGGCAGTTTGCTTTGAAAGTCAATTTAACAGATTATCTAAACAATGATAAATAAGAAGCATGGGGTGGGGGGAAGGATGAATAAAGCCAACAGAGACTTTCAGGGTAGAGGAACTTTAATGAGGACAAGGTAAGTCAAGGAACAATGAAGAGACTCAAATTGGTAGCTGTTTGGATTCATTAAGGTAGAAGCTAGTTTAGGTAGAAAAACTCATAATGTGAATATGTTTTACTCATAAGGACATATAGTGTTAATGTTTCCTGTTAATTAGATGACATCCATCCTTCTGGTTCACATAGCCTGCACTGGACAGAATACAAATCATTTTGTGGGTCTTGTACAAAAGATCTTCAATGAAGAGTTCTCAGCTACTGAACATAACCATTTCTTCCTCGTAAATCTCATATTTTTTTTATATGGAAAAGCTTTTCCCATGGAACCTAGAAAAATAAGTGTGCACAAATTTCTTGAACACTGAGGAGAAATATCTGACTTGTGTATTTTCCTTTTTTTTGCGTGAAATCTGTGGCCTTTGTAGTAGTTTTGTTAAACAGAAATATCATTAGCACCCGCATCATTAGCACACCACCGGCATCAGCACAAGTAGAACATTTGTCAAGTTTTCAAAAAGTACTCTCTACTTCCTCTGACTCATTTGGAGTAGTATCTTCATGTGTTTCACTCTGGGAAAAAAAAAAACAAATACAAAGCATGTTTCTTAACATCACTCAACAAAAAACACACACAGTATCGATGCTTACAAAATAAGATCTTAAAAGTTTCACTTGCATGTGTGTCTTAATATCCACTTTGACTTACTTTCTTGATGTTTTTGGGAGGGGGAGGTATGAGGAGGCTGGTACGAGGGTTTGAACTCAAGGCCTATGGTCTCATTTGGCATTTGTGCTCAAGGCTGGCATTTTACCACTTGTGCCGTGCCTCCACTTTTGGCTTCTGGGTGATTAACTGGAGATAGGAGTCTCACAGACTTTCCTGTCTGGGCTGGCTTTGAACCACAATCCTAGATCTCAGCCTCCTGGGGAACTAGGATTACAGGTATGAGCTACCGGTGCCTTGCTTCAACCTACCTTCTTAATTCCTTCAGGAAACATTTGTAATGTGGTATATGTCTTGATCTTCTCAACAAAATATTCATGGTAATTTTGAACATTAAAAAATGCCAGAAAGTCAAAATTTACCTTGTCTTCTCATCATATTTTCGAATGATTACCCATCTTTTCCCTCCCAGGGAAAGTGTTAGTTTGAATTTAAGGTAACTGATATTTTCTTTTCTTTTTAGTTTACCAACTGACCTTGCATCCTGAATAATGGAGTACAATTTTAGTTTTCCCTGGTTTCAAACTTCATACAAGTGGAATGAAAATGTATTCTTCTCTATCTGCCTTTTTATAGTCAACATTTAAAAAGTTCTCCCACATTTTTTAGTGCAGTCATACTTCACCTCAATTATTATGTAGAATCTTATTGCAGTAATTTGCCCTGATTTACTCACCTCTCAAATATTTGTGTTGCTTTCACTTTAGAATTATTATAAATACTATTCCATATTGTTGGAAATGTATAAGGACTTAAATTACTGATCATAAAGTTATAGACATTTCAACCTTTAGTAGTTCTTAAAGAGTATTCAAGTTGCCGGGTGTTGGTGGGTCATGCCTGTAATTTTAGCTACTCAGGGGGCTGAGATCTGAGGATCACAGTTTCAATTCCAATTAACCACTCAAAAACTGGAAGTGGAGCTGTGGTTCAAAGTGGTACAGTGATAGCCTTGAACAAAAAGGGGGTTCGGAGTTCAAGCCCCACAATAAACAAAAAAGTATTCAAGTTGTTGCAATAACTTATATTGCAACTAAGTGTGTGACAGATTTGTTTGCAGGGCAAATCAGCACTTGGAATTGTTGATGCATTTCTTGAAAAAAGACTATATTACTCTTTTTGATGGCTGAATAATGCTTCACTGCTACAAAAATTCTTTGTTCAATATATCTTCTTCATTCGTCTGTTGATGGGCATCTAGGCAGACTGTAATATGGGTATTGTGAAAAGTACTGCAATAAACAGGGGTGTGAAGGTATCTCATAATAAGCTGACTTTGTTTTCTTTGATGATATATGCAAGAATAGTACAGCAGGATCATATAGTTCTTTTTTATTTTTTTTGAGACATCCCCATATTGATTTCCATAGTGGGTGAACTAATTTACAAGTTTTCCTTTTACAGGTTTCAATTTCCTCACATCCTTAAGAGTGTCCCAAAACAAGGGCTTTGGGCAGCTGACATTGGTAGGAAGCAAATTTTATTGCTGCTGTTGTTGTCAGTTGTGAGGGTTGAACTTGGGGCCTGGGCACTTGTCCTGGAGCTCTTTTGCTCAAGGCTAGTGCTCTACCACTCTGAGTCACAGCATCACTTCTGGTTTCCTGGTGGCTAATTGGAGATGAGTGTCATCGACTTTCTTACCTGGGCTGGCTTCTTAAGCTGTGATCCTCCAATCTTAAACTCCTGAGTAGCTAGGATTACAGGTGTGAGCCACCAGCACCCAGCTTTTGAAGTTCTGTTCATTTCTTCTCCCCCCCTTCTTTTGTGCCATATTCTTGTTAATTTTTGTCTTTTGTCAGTTCAAATCTGGTCTTGAGCCCTTTAAGTTACTCATTTTTTTTTTTTTTTTTTGGTAAATCGTAGGGCCTGAACTCTGGGCCTGGGCACTGTCCCTCATCTCTCTTCAGCTCAAGGCTAGAGTCACAGCATCACTTCCGGCTTTTTCTGCTTACGTGGTGCTGAGGAATCAAACCCAGGGCCTCATGCATGCAAGGCAAGCGCTCTACCACTGAGCCACCTTCCCAGCCCCTAGTTACTCTATTTTTAAACTATAGGTTTGCTACTTCATTTTAAAAAATGATTTCCCTCTCTTTCTTTTTTTTTCTGACAGTCTTTTTGAATGTCATTATTGTAATCTTTTCAACACATTTCTTTTAGTGTTTAAGAAATCTTTTTTTTGTGTGTGTAAAGTTCAACATTTTCCTTTTTCTTCTACCAATAAACCATAGTTCAAGTGTTCTTTTAAAAGGAATACACTACTGTTTATTTTTTCAAATTTTTGCTGTTGTTTAAAACTGGACATTTTAGATAATATTTCATATCCACCTAGGACCAGTGCTTATTAGTATCTTTTCAGTGGCTTGTCTCCCCTAATTGTATAATCTGTTTTCCCTTCTGTCTTTGGCCTGTGGAGTATGTACTCCTTTGTCTTTATTTTAAGGTCTAGTTTCTTAGGCTTCTCTATTCAATCAGCATAAGTACTTGATCACTGGTTACTTAGAGGTAGTGTTTAAACACCATCCTGTCTGAACTGTATCCCATAATATTCATATATTAATGTCCTAAACTTTAGCATCTCAGAATGTGACAACACTTGGATGTAAGGTATTCAAAGCCCTAATAAAGTTATAATAAAGTTGTTCCATTGAGCCCCAATCCAAAGTGATTGTCATACTTATATATTTTGGGTACAGACAGATACAGAGGAAAAGCCTTATGAAGACACAGGGCAAAGACAGCTATCTGAAAGCTGAGAGAGCTCAGAAGAAACTAACATTGTTAACACTTTAATTTTGACCGTCTGGCCTTTATAGCATGAGAAAGCAAATTTCTGTTGTTGAAGTTACAGTCTATAGCACTTGGTTCTGGCAGTACTACCAAGTCCTGAAGTATTCTGAGTCAATGGGACTTCTTTTCTTTCCCAGGTATCAGTGTAGCTTGAGAAGGGTTTTCAAAGGTTAGGCCATTTGTATGTCCTGCTTATCTCTCACTTTGATTTTTGTAAAAGTTCTTCTTTTAAAAGATTATTTGTAAGCTGTACAGAGGAGGTGCCACTTAGCAAAACAGTTTATGATATAGTGCATCTTGATTAATGTCACCCCTTTCAATATTCTCACCCATCTTTTCCAAATCACCCCTTCCCTCACTCTTCTTAATTTTGTAGGATATACACTGGAAATAAGTAGCTCATGAGGACTGTCTGTAGTTTCCTGAGTGAATGCATACTTTTGTATACACTTATACTTTTTAGATGATAGCGATAAATAGAATATTATCAAGGCCCACAGCCAATTCTGACATTATTTTATCTCTATATACAATATATATGTACATATATGTATACATGCATTTGTTCTCTGAATCTTTCTGCTGAATTTCTGGTTGTCAGTCAGCTTCCTGTCCCAACAGTACTCTGGTCATCTCACTAAGGAGGCTGGGATATGTCAACTGGTATTACTGGCTCCGTTGGTGTTAGCTCAGGCAGTATTTGTCTTCTGGTTTGCCCTGCGAGCTCTATTTTTGTAAACAATACTTCTGGTGATGAAATTTTCTGTATTCAGCTTCAAGTAAATTAGCTCTCAAGTAGCCATATTGCTGGTCTTGAGAGTCTGACTCTACAATTATGCAAACCTCTACCTAACTAAACTTAGAAGATTGGAGGAATAGGAGCCAGCTCCAAGAGAACTTGTCAGAAGTATTCGAAGTTTTATTTAGATGTGGTGGAGTTTTCATAAACACTTCTCACTTTCGTTGTATATATTACTCAACTTCCAGAATCTTTCATTGATACTTTTGTTCAGTTTTAGCATTACTTTTAAGGGGTATTTGCAATGTCCTTAGTCAGCCATTCTGGATGTTTCAAAAATCTCTTTTTCTACAGTCTCTAGTATTTTGTCCTTCTGAGTTACTTCCATCCTTCTAGTTACTTCTGTCCTGCCCAGAGTGGACTTCCTTGATTATACTATTTCCCAGTCCTGACATTATATTTACATAAACATGTATCTGCATTATATATATATAGTTATATATATATAACAATATAACTGTATATATAGTTATATATGTAGTTACATATATATAGTGTATATATATATATAGTGTTTATTGTTTTTTCCTCCCATTGAAAAACAAACTCTTGGGCTGGGAAGGTGGCTTGGTGGTAGAGTGCTTGCCTTGCATGCATGAGGCCCTGGGTTCGATTCCTCAGTACCATATAAGCAGAAAAAGCCAGAAGTGGAGTTGTGGCTCGAGTGGTAGAGCGCTAGCCTTGAGCTGAAGACCTGAGGGACAGTGCCCAGGCCCAGAGTTCAGGCCCCACAACCGACCAAAAAAAAAAAAGAAAAGCAAACTCTGTTGGTTGAGGCCCTGCCATCTTACTCATGACCTTCTTAGTATAATGATAACAGGCTTTCCACATATATATGGGAAGGACTGAGTGTTAGGTATTGATTTATTTTAAGCTTGTGAAAAAATAATCATTCTCCCAAACTACTGTGCAATATAAATTTTTATGGTGTTAGATGCTGTTAAACCTGATTTTGTAAATAAACTCCCCCCCAAATACTTATTAAGATTACATGACTACATCAATTTCTCAAGTTATACTTAAAGTCAGAAACACCTTTTAATCTTCATGATGGTAGTGGTCATTATTTTAATCTATTTTGCTCATGAACTCTATGACCTTTAACAATAAAACTATTTTTATACAAACAGGGTGATATGTAATTTCTTTCCTTCTGCTTAGTATCCGCTGTTCCCTCTTTCTCTCTCATTCCCTTCCTCCCATCACCGCCCTTGAGTTGCTTAGTTCACTTTCTAATGTCCAGTGCCGCTGATGGGCGCTGCTGCTGTTATTTTCCCCCTGCTTGCAAATAAACTTCTATCACAGAAAAAGTTATCTCCTGTATGTAAAGATATTCATATTGAAATATTCACTGAATCATTGTTTATAATCTAGAATAGACTAGAAACAAGCAGTTTATAATTTAGAATATGCTGTAAACAAAGCTGGATATTCTGTAGTAAGGAACAATAAGTAATAAAACAATAAACATGTTTTATAATGGGAAGCTATGGTAGTTGTGAAAAATGTGACAAAATAATATGAATATGATCACACAAAAAATAGGAAACATGTCTAGGGTTTTCATAGGCATGGATATGTGAGTGTAATGAGCATTATAGTAAGGGTTCAATCACTATGGTGTTTTTTTAAAGTTTTTATATTGTAGCGAATTTTATATTTGTAAATTTTGTTTTCCTTTTATAAAATAAGGGGAAAGGGATAAGGAAATATCATCACATTTTATTTTTATTAGTTTCAAACATACTGTACAATGGATTTCAGCTCCTTTAGAGCATGCTTGCCAGAAATCAAGATCTTTTGATTTGATGGAGTAAATACTTACCAAATGTGAACAGAGGCAGATTGAGTACACAAGTGCAATGGCAAATTCCAAGGGGTAGGAGATCAGTAAAATACGTGAAACTTCTCTCCCCAGTTTCTGTAACAAGAAATCTTGTATTATGATCTTTTACAGTAGGAAATGAACTGCTATCTCACAGGTCTGGACAATTATGCCACTTGAGTTTAAACTGATGATGACAAGCTAAAGAATAAACACAAAGCACAGACATATTCATGGAAGGAGCTCCTAGGGCAAGACTCAAGGGCAATCACTCTCTCTAGGTGTTTTCATTCCTTTGCTTTCTGCCTCACTTCAGGCTTCCATCCCCCAAGTTCAGCGTCTGTGGCTCTGGCCCTGACCTTCATCTTGTAGTGTCCTTTTCACACTCTTCACGACATTGTTCTCACCTCGGTGGAGTCCATGGCACAGCTCACTTCTAAACTCTTTTGCTTACCACATTTGACACTCTTACCCCCTTATCTCTAATAATACGATGACCATTAACAGTTTTATTGATTTAGTTTCTTGTGCCAATCCTAGGGCTTAAACTCCAGGGCTTACATGCTATCCCTGATCTTTTTTTTTGCTAAAGGCTCTAGTGCGTGAGCCAACTCTACTTCTGGCTTTTTGGGGATTAATTATAAGAGTTTTATAATCTTTTCTGACCTGGTTGGGTTCAAGCCTCGATCCACTGATGTCAGCCTCCTGAGTAGCTAGGATTACAGGTGTGAACTATCAGCTCCCCATACGTTTTTTTAAAAATATATATTTAGTGTAAAGATACTGTACAAGGGGTTACAGTTACATGAGTATTGTTACCCCCTCCTTTGTTTTTCCCCTACCAGCCCTTCCCTCCCTCTCTCCTTCCTCCCCACCCTCTGAAGTTGTAAAGTTGGTTTTCAACATAGTTACAATGGGTGAACCTATATCCTTATTTCAGCATTTTGTTATTTCCATTCCCCTCCCCAAATTAGAAAAATGTATATAGAAGATGCAGAGCACCAGAATCAAACACAGTGAAAACAGGGGTTATACCATGGGGGAAGTATATGCAAAAGTAACAAAAAATTACATAGTACATTATAAGTACCTTAAAAACAAAAGCAACAAAGATAAAACCTCATGTACCTATCTTGGGGTTCATTTCACTTAGCATCATCTTATATGGTCATATGTACATAGCTTTTGACCTTTTCTGCTTGTCCTAGACATATACTAGTTATTGCAAATAAAGGAAACAGTGGGACCTATGTTTCTTTGGGCCTGGCTTACTTCACTTAATACATTTTTTTCCAAGTCTTTCCATTTCCTGACAAATGGGGTGATGTCATTCTTTCTGATGGAGGTATAGAATTCCAATATATACACATATTCATATATGTATATATATCACATTTTCTTGATCCATTCATCTACTGTGGGGCATCTGGGCTGGTTTCATATCTTAGCTATGGTGAATAATGCTGCAATAAACAGTTGTGCTGGTAGCTTTAGTATGGCCTTGTTTGTGATCCTTTGGGTAAAGGCCCAAAAGCAGGATTGCTGGGTCGTAGGGGGGCTCTATATGTAGTCTTTTGAGGGATCTCTATACTGCTTTCCAAGTGGTTGAACAAGTTTACACTCCCACCAATAATGCAGTAGGGTTCCCTTTTGGCCACATCCCTTCCAGCATTTGTTGTTATTAGATTTCTTGATTATAGCCATTCTAACTTGGGTGAGGTGGAATCTCAATGTTGTTTTGATCTGCAATTCTTTTTATGGCTAGAGAAGCTGAGCATTTCTTCATTTGTCTAAAGGCCATTCTTATTTCCTATTCAGAGAAGTTTCTCTTTAAGTCTTTGGCCCACTTGTTTATTGGGCAGTTGTTTCTTTGAGGATTTGTTTTTGGGGGATTTAATTTTTTAAGTTCCAGGTATATTTTATTTTTTATTTTTTTTAAAATATTTTTTGGGTCTGGTAGTGGGGCCTGAACTCTGGGCCTGGGCGCTGTCCCTCAGCTCTTCAGCTCAAGGCTAGCACTCTACCACTTGAGCCACAGCGCCACTTCCGGCTTTTTTCATTTTGCTTATGTGGTGCTGAGGAATCCTTCCCAGCCCTCCAGGTATATTTTAGAGATGAGACCCTTGTCTGTTGTATGGCTAGTGAAGATCTTCTCCCAATCCGGGGACTTTCTATTGATTTTGCTAGCTATGTCCTTTGCCATCAGAAACAATGCAATTTCATGCAATCCCATTTGTCCAACATTTCTTTTGTTTGTTGTTTCTGGGTCTCTATTAAGAAAATTTTGGCCTGTGCCAAGGAACCCTAGAGTTTCTATTTCTTCCTGTAATGTTTTTAGGGAGTCTGCTTTTACTTTGAGGTCTTTGATCCATTTGGAGTTGAGTCTGGTGCAAGATGATATGATGCTATATAAGGATCTGGCTTTAGTTTTCTACAGGTGAATAACCAATTTTGCCAGCACCATTTACTGAAGAGGCTGTCTTTCTTCCATTCTATTTCGAGGCTGTCTTTCTTCCATTCTATTTTTTTTAGCTGCCTTATCAAAGATTAGGTGGTGATAGGTCTGTGGGTTCATTTCTGGGTCTTCAGTTCTATTCCATTGGTCCTGAGGTCTGTTCTTGTGCCAGTACCAAGCTGTTTTGATTACTATGGCTTTGAAGTAGACTTTGAAATTTGGTATTGATATTCTTCCAGCACTGTTCTTTCTGCTAAGGATTGTTTTTGCTATTTGGGGGTCTTTTATTGTTCTATATGAATTTTTGGGTTGTTTCTTCTATTTCATTGAAGAATGAGGTTGGGATATTGATAGGTATCACATTGAATTTGTAGATAGCCTTTGGCAGTATTGCCATTTTCATGATGTTAATCCTCCCAATCCAGGAGCATGAGAGGTTTTTCCACTTCCTTAGTTTTGCATCAATTTCCTTTCTCAGGTTTTTAAAGTTTTCATTATAGAAGTCCTTTACTTCTTTAGTTAACTCCTTTTATTTTTTGTGGGGCTATTACAAAAGGAGTTGCTTTCCTGATTTCAGCCACGCTCTTCTCTTTATTGGCATACAGAAAAGCCATTAACTTTTGAGGGTTAAGTTTATACCCTGCTACTTTGCCAAAGTTTCAGATCAGCTCCAGTAACTTGGGAGTGGAGTCCATGGATTCTTTAAATATAAGATCATGTCACCTACAAAGAGGGAGAGTTTTACTTCATCTTTCCCTATTTGGATCCCCTTTATGTTTGTATCTTGTCTTATTGCTCTAGCTAGGCATTTTAATATTAACTTGGAGAGAGTGGAATTCCTTGTCTTGTTCCTGAATTTAGAGGAAATGGCTTTAGCTTTTTGCCATTAAGTATAATGCTGGCTGTAGGTTTGTCATACACAGCCTTTATGATACTGAGGAATGTTCCATGGATTCCTAGTTTTTCCAGAGCCTTCATCATAAAGGCGTGTTGGATCTTGTCAAATGCTTTTTCTGCATCTATTGAGATAACCATGTGGTTCTTATCTTTGCTCTTGTTGATGTGATGAATTATATTAATTAATTTGCGTATATTGAACCAGCTTTGCATCCCTGGAATGAATCCTGTTTGATCGTGGTGTATGATTTTTTGGATGAATTGTTGAAGTTGATTGGCCAAAATTTTGTTGAGAAGTTTTGCATTGATGTTCATCAAAGAAATTGGGTCTATCGTTCTCTTTCTTTGATGAATCCCTGCCTGGTTTTAGGATGAGGGTTATGATGGCTTCATAGAAAAAGTTTGGTAGTGAACTTTCACTTCCAATTTCATTGAAGAGTTGGAGGAGAGTTTTTTTTTTTGTTATGTGTGTGTCACCTTATAGTAGAGCTTGAACTCAGAGCCTTGAGCTATTTTTTTTGCCCAAGGCTGGAGCTCTACCATTTGAGTAGTGCACTATCTTGAACTTTCAGTTTCCAAAACAATGAGATAAATAAAGAATTTTCTCTTATAAACTCCTAGCCTCAGTTTCTTGATTATAGCAATAGGAAATGAACTAATATATCCTCCCCTCCTTATTTTCTACTCTTGAAGTTAGAATTGAAGAATTCTATATTGAATCTTCAGGAAAAGTTTGTTATGATTTATAGGCAAAATATAATCATGTTTCTTTAAATCATCCGTTACTCATCATTTGTTTTGGAGGCATCACTGTACTTTCTATCATGGTCTTCCTGTCCTCTAGGCTTTTTTTCTGTTAGTCCTGGGGCTTAAACTTAGAATGTGGACGTTGTCCCTGAACTTCTTTTCCTCAAGGCTAGCCCTCTACCACTTGAGCCACAGCTCTGTTTCTGGCTTTTACTGAATAGTAAAAATCTCACAGACTTTTTTGCCCAAGTGATTCAAACCATGATCCTCAGATCTCAGTCTCCTGAGTAGCTAGGATTATAGGCATAAGCCACTAGATCCCAGCTCCTCTAGGCTTTTATTCTCTATTCTTGGTTTCTTTCCACTGATAGTCTTCTGGACAATATATTGCAGGGAACAAGAGTGTCTAGAGGAGGATCAGGAACTTGGTCCCTTACCTTTAATAGTATCTCTATCTGTATTTTATCTTCATCTATTTTGTTCTGTTGTTCACACCAAAGGGGATTCTACTTCAATCTCTGCTCACATTAATGGGATTTTTTTTTAATTTTGAGACAGGCTGGCCTAGAACTTTCAGTGTAGCCCATGCTGACCTTCACCTTATAATCTCGTTACCTCAGCTTCCTGAGTGTTAGGATTACAGGCATATACTACCATGCTTAGCTTAAATGGGAGATTAAAAAATAAGCCTTAATATTTGGTACTTCTGAAATTAAAGACAACAAACTGAAATAAATCTATATATTCTCAGTAAAGACAATCTCCTATAATGGAGAATGTTACGCTCTGAGTAACATTTTTTTTAACACAGTGATTGGATATTCAATTAAATGGAAGCAAGACAGGTTATGCATATATATATATTTAATGGCATAAAATCATAAGTTACCAAAGAGGCTGTTATGAAAAGCTGTATGTTTAGATCAGAAGTGACTAAGTATTCACAGTTTGAACTGGCCATAGAAGAATTCTTTTGTTGATTTTGAAAATGGTTCTATGGTCTAGGATTACACTATAGTTACATTAAGGGAATCATCAGTGACTTCTGTCTAATGCATAGATATTTCTTGTTGAGGCCTTTATATTTTTTACTTACTTTGTTGTATTTGGGCAAATCCAAAATTAAGATTATTAATATTTAGTGAAATATTACATGTTACACTTATTTTTGAACTAACACTTTCAACCTGGAGCTGACTATTAAATCAAAGAATTTTTAGTGCAACAATAAAAGCTTCCCTTTACCTTTTTCAAAACCACTGAAAAAATAGTATGGCAACTATGAGGTTTCTTTAGATTTGTTTACTTACCGCTTGTCCAAAATTCCTGTATGACACAGAATGAAAATTCATCAGCTCAATTATGGTCAGAACTGCTGCAATATTTGAAATAATTACACAGAGAATGTTCATGGACAAAGAACAAATTAGCTGAAAAGGAGAAAAAGGGTAAATATATTCCATTTAGAATAAACACCTTGCTTAGTTTCTTTTGCTAAAGTAAGTCATATAGTTAAAACTTAGGGTGAGTTTGTGAGTCATTTAGAAGTGTTTGCATGCTTACTATTCATGTAAAATACTTTTCTGATTTACTTGGAAACCAATTACTTGAAAGGAATCCCTAAAATATCATCAGGTTCAGAAGCATTCATCTTTGAACTTCTCTGGTTCAAAAATCCTGTATTTTATAATCTTGTGAGACAACTGTATGAAAGCTTAAGAGGTTTCTATGAAAAAGTTAAGAGAATGATGAAAAAATGACTACTTGTAGAACTAAAATCAGCTTTTAATATTAGGTTTTCACTGTCTAGAAAAATATTTCAGTATCTTCAAACAGACATCAGTTTTTTAAATCTGTAGAATGACAAGATCAGACTAATTTCTAAGATATCTTTTTATCCCTGATTCTGAGGCATGAACTCAGGACTTGGGCAATGCCTCTGAGCTTTTGTGCTCAAGGTTAGTGTTCTACCACTTGAGCCATTGTGCTACTTCTTGCTTATTGGTGGTGAATAGTAGATAAGAGTCTCATGGAATTTCCTGCACTGGGCTGGTTAGCTTCAAACCATGATTCTATGATCTCAGCTCCCTGAGTAGCCAGGATTACAGGCATGAGCCACTAGTGCCTAAGCCTGGCTCTAAGATATCTTTAAAAAATTCTGAAACAATTTTTATCTTCCAGATCTTTCTGCTTATGTTATAGCTAGGTCTTTCTTTCTGGACAAGTCACCTACTTTGCTAAAAGATTTGTTCTGGTTCCCAAACTCAATAGTCCAGACAATTAAGTTTTACAGCATTATAATATCTGTACCTAAAGGCATAACATTATTTTCTTTTTTATGTTTTTTATTGTAAAAATACTGTACATGAGTAAGGTAATGAGTACATTTCTTACTGAGCATTGTTACCCTCTCCTTTGTTTTCCCCTACCATCGCTTCCCTCCCCACCTCCCCAACTCCTCTCTCCCCTGCTAAGTTGTAAAGTTTGTTTTCAACATAATGTCATGTACCTCTCATTGTTACAATGGGTCAGTCTGTATTCTTATTTCAGCATTTTTGTTATTTCCCTTCCCCTCCCCAAATTAGAAAAATGTACATAGAAGATGCAGGGCACCAGGATCTAATTCAGTGAAAACAAGGGTTATACTGTGGGGGAAGAAACAAAAAAATTCATATAGTACATTTTAAATATGTTAAAAACAATAGCAAGAAAGAAAAAAACCACTGTGTCCCTATCTTGGGGTTCATTTCACTTAATATCATCTTATATGGTCATTTGTACATAGCATTGACCTTTTCTGCTTGTCCTACACTTATACTAGTTATTGCAAATAAAGGAAACCATGGGACCTATGTTTCTTTGGGCCTGTCTTACTTCACTTCATATAATTTTTTCCAAGTCTTTCCATTTCCTAACAAATGGGGCAATGTCATTCTTTCTGATGGAGGCATAGAATTCCATTGTGCATATATACCACATTTTCTTGATCCACTCATCTACTGAGAGGCATCTGGGTTGGTTCCATATCTTAGCCATGGTCAATAATGCTGCGATATTAACATTATTTTCTCATTACAATATCCCTACAATGTTGAAATACAAACATTGAAACAAAACAATAAGTGCATTTAGATTTAGAAATTTTAGGGCTGGGAAGGTGGCTCAGTGGTAGAGTGCTTGCCTTGCATGCCTGAGGCCCTGGGGTCGATTCCTCAGTACCACATAAGCAAAAAGAAAAAAAAAGCCGGAAGTGGCGCTGTGGCTCAAGGGGTAGAGCGCTAGCCTTGAGCTGAAGAGCTGAGGGACAGTGGCCAGGCCCAGAGTTTAGGCCCCATGACCGGACCCCAAAAAATAAATAAGTAAATAGATTTAGAAATTTTAGCTGGGGACCAGAGGCTCATATCTATAATCCTAGCTACTCAGAAGACAGAAATTAGGAGAACTGTGGTTGGAGGCCAATCGGGCAAAAATGTTTGCAGGATCCCATCTCAACAGATATAGTTAGGTATGATGGTATATGCCTGTCAGCCCAGCATCTCAGGAGGCTAAGGTTGGAAGGACTGCAGTTCTAGACTAGTTCAGGCAAAAAAGCATGTGACTTCATCTTAACAGAAAAAGCTGGGCACGGTGGCATGCATCTGTCATGCTAGCTACACAAGAAGCATAAGTAGCAGGACTGCGGGCTGGGCTTGGCAAGGAGAGTGTGAGAACTCAACATCTCAAAAATAACGAGAGCGTGAAGTGTTTAGAGATATGATGCAAGTTTCAGAGTACCTGCCTAGAAAGTGTGAAGTTGACGTGAAATCTCAGTACTGCCAAAAAAGAATTAGACATTTTTATACAATCATCATCTTTTAACTATTGTGGCATATTTTTCTACCTTAACTTATGTAATCTTAGACTTTCCTTTCTTTCATTTCGGTCATAGGGAGGGTAGTTTCTTTCATTATTTATAAATATATTCTAATTAAAATTAGTTTTGTGACAAATCACTTCTAGAGATGTTCCAAATATTTAACTTACCCAAATCTCAGTTGGATGCCTTACTGCTTTTATTATGAAGGCTCCTCCTATGATAAACTGGATAGAAAACATTTATAAAAACTCACTGATAATTCTTGCAAACTTATAATGCATTTTTAAACAACTCTTTCTAATGGTAACAAAATAAAAAAAAGTTTAGTAGAAGAAATCAGGACAAGGTTTTCTATCATGAAATAATTATGTAAATAAAGGCAATGGTTAATAAAAAAGTAGGATCATTCATAATATAAATATATAAGGGACCGTGGAAGAATTCGGTGGGTATATGCTAAGTGGATACCTAAATGTATACTTACAGCATAAAGAAAGTTTTCATACATGTGAGTGATTCCTCATTTATTAACTCAATTGATTATTACGTCTGATTATGAGTATTGTGTACATATACAAAATGGTCTGTGAGTCTAATTAATAGTGTAACAATACTAAATATGCCTTTGAACTGAGAGACTATAGTCATTACTAAGGTAATGGTTGCTATTCACGAGGGGGGGTGTCTTTGTTTTTTTCCCCTCTCTAAGAAAAGAGGTCGTATTATTTTATGTCAGAAAGTCCATTTTCCAAGAAGCAATTGTTTGCTTCTTGTTTGAAACTGGACTGAACAATTCCCCAAAAATATTGTCTTACAAGCTTAAGCAGTTTGACAAGGGTGGACTTTTGGAAAAACATCATACAAATTCTGTAAGGATAACTTTAACTCTACACATTCTGTACTTGATTCTTTAATGAAAGCTGACGTCTCTAAGAAGGTACACAGTGAAATGGTACTAGTTTTGTAAATTCTGACCTGGAGTGCTAAGTAAATTATCAAGTCATTTGTTTTATGAAATGCTTTTCAAATTTTATAACTAAGTGCTTTTCAGTATATTACATTTGAAAATTTATTATAAGACTTATATAAGCATGCTATTTTTATAATAAAACACTAAGGGATAATTAAACACTAACAAACACTAAGGGATAAACAGTATTTATCTGAGTTTTGCCTGAAAATTTATTATTTTTCTTTTTCAAAGACATTTTAAAGACATTTATGAATCAGTACATTATTTATTATTGAGCCCATACATTGCTTATCAATCATATATCGTTCCTCCTGATTTTGCCTGAAACGTGATTTTTTTTGGGTGCCAGTTCTGGGTCTTGAACTCAGGGCCTGGGCACTTTCCCTGAAAAATGTTTTTTTTTTTTCAATGCTAATGCTGTACTACTTGAGGCACAGCTCTCCTTCAAGCTCTCTGATGGTTCCTTGGAGGTAAGAGTCTCACAAGCTTTCTTGTCCAGGCTGGCTTCAAATGGCAATCTTCAGATCTTAGCATCCTGAGTTATCTAAGATTACAGGTATGAACCACCAGTGCCTGGCTTGAAAAGTGAATATTTTTATCCTCATTTTCTCATAGCACTTTAGTGACTTTCCACCATTCTTTTCCCTCTAGGTTTGAATAAAGTTTTATCAGATTCTTACTCACTATTACTTGTGGTTGAAGTCATCTATTGATCCTTCACTCATTCATTTCTATCCAGATAATTAATTCTTGTCTCTGACTCTTTCTCTCTCTCTCTCTGTCTCTCCCTCTCTCTCCGTGATACTATTTAATTCTCAGTGAGGTGCTTTGGATTTCTCTCCAATCCTTTTCTTAGATGGTCACTCCCATATTCACTCTCTTGTCCTTGTTATAACTTTAAAAACTTCAATTTCCTGTACAAACCTTGATTACTACCTGCTATGTTTCCAGCTCATGTGCTGTCGTATCTATACCCTAACTCTCCTCATCTGTCTATTATTTTTTAGAACAATAAACACTTTTATTACATGAGCTAAGGATGGTAGATGACTTTATTTGCCTTTCCGGGCCTTGATCTTCCTCAGATAGAATTCCAGCTCCTTGCCTTCTAGCACATAGCCATCTGCTCGGCCACACTGGCCTGGTCGGGATGCAATGCAGGCAAGAAGCTTCCCTTGTTGGAATTGCTCCTCTAATACACTTCTGATTTTGGCATTCTTTTTTCTTTCATCATATTTTCTTGGATCGCTTTTTGTTTAAAATCTCTTCCTCCTCAGGAGTCAGCCTGGCCCCCTTCTTGCGGCCCAGGGGCAGTGCATAATGGGATTCATAGCACAGCCGGTACGGTGTGCTGTCGATGAGCACAATGCAGTTCTTTACTAGGGTTTTGGTGCGGACCAGCTTGTTATTGGATGCAACAACATCAATGATCCTTGTTTTACGAGTACAACACTCAGAACCCCAGGAAAAGTTGCCACATCCAGCCTCAGAGCACGGTATTTCTTGTTGCCACCCCGAACTTGGACTGTGTGTATGTGACAGGGGCCGATCTTAGTGTTGGTGGCAGGGCGTCCCAGCTCATACTTCTGCTTCTTGTGGTAGGGTTTCCTTTTACCCCTGGTTTTGTGGCGCTTGTGCCAGTTATCCCGAGAGATGCCCATCGCTCGGCGCTGGCTGGAAAGAGTCCTCATTTGTCTATTATTTGGTTAACTTCCTGTTACAATATTCTGCACCAGCTTAAATTCAAAAGTGAACCATTGCAAACACTCCTTATCCATTTCCAACTCCTAATCACTGTTGCATGGTTTAACAAAGATCCTGACTAAGCATTCTTCCTACTGCATGCCTGTACCTGTGCTGCTGAAGATACACAACCATGTTCCTATACCTTCAATGTTGTATAAAAAGTCCTTTAAGGCTGTATAAAACTCAAACTTCTTTTCCAAAATCCTCTCATTATTTTTTCCTAGGTGACTATTTCACATTCTCTTCTCTTTTCTCTGACAGCCAAGCCACTGCCATCCTCTCTTTTAGCTTATACTTTGCTTCCTGACTGAGTTATTTGAAACTATTAGAAGCAAACTTTCTCAGGCTCCCAAGCTCCATCAAAATTGGCTTTCTTAATCTTTTTATTTAACCCACCCTGATACTATCTGTACTAATGTTTATTTTTCTTCTTGTAGGATTTCCTGTGTGATACAGGATGCAGAATGGCTCTCTTGGCCTCCCCTACTAGATGTGTACTCTAAAACCCCAAGCATCTCCAGACTTTATCAAATGTTTACTAAGAGGTAAAATTATCTCCAGTATTAGGGATAACCACTAAAACTCATCACCTTTTGCCTACACAGATACACAGTCCCAGAGCTCTCCCTATTTATCTCATATCATCAATTTTCTTTCTACTTGTTCTTTCCCCTCAACAAAACACAATTGAAACAAATTTCCCCAGCTAGTACTCCATTTTCCAAATTTCTTTTGGCCCAATATTCTCTAGCTATCACCCAACCTCTCTATTCACATTAGCAAAGCCTATTCAAGGAGAAGCTGTCTGTTTTTGCTATCTCGAATTCCTTTTTTCTTATGCTTCTTACACTGACCGAAATCAGGCTTTTGTTTCATCATTCTAATGAAACTACTTGTCATGTTTACATTGGTTACCATATTTCTAAACCCACAAGTTAGTAATCATCCCCATCTTATTTGCTGAAACAATAGAATATGATGGAGCTGATTTTTTATTTCCTGTAACTTTTCCCTTTTAAGATGCTATTCTCTTAAGTTTTCTTTCTACCCAATGGCTGTATAGAAACCACACAAGAGTGAGGATAATGGCAAATTAAAAAAAAATTAGTACTGATTAATTGTGCACATAGGCTAAGGTGATTTATACTTGGTAATGTGTATTATGGTGAAATTTCTTTTCTTTGGAATATTTAAGGATTATTTCTCCTCTGGTTGTCATTGTGTATTTAGCCTACTATTCACACTCTTGTAATAAAATTTGTAAATAAATAGCATTCAATGCATATTTCTTAAAGAAAGAGCTGACATTGAATAAACCACTGTTGTACTTAGTTACATGAATCTCTTGAAAAACTTGGCTTATAAACTGTCTCTTACTTTCTCTGACATGAATATTACTTAGTGAAAGATTAAATCAGTAGAAATATACTCACAAAGACTCCCCATAAAGCACATCCTGTTCTGTAAGTTAAAGGCTCATATAGTCCAAAGAATCCTTTAAGTTGTCCCATATACAAAACCAGTAGGAAATACCACATAAAAACATGAAAAATGCCAATCATAATCTGGATAGCCTGGAAGAAAAGAGAATTATTAGTACTGAAACTGTGTAATTTTAAATACAATTCTAGTAGATGTTTCTATAAGAAACACTTTATAGAGGGCAAAAGTAAAATAGTATTCCACTTAGTGCCATGTATTTCCTGGAAACTCACCAGGAAGGAACTGAAGATTTTCTAATAGGATTCAGCCATACTGGGAGGAACAGAATGTTCATTCATAGTAACCTGACCACTTCCTCTATGAAACAGTAGTTTGATTATACCATAGCTGCTCCTGTAACTAGCAAGTAATGACAGGAGGGGAAATCTACTGTGGGTACCTGAGAGAAAATGTTTGTAGGAAGCAACATATTCAATATTTTCTTGCACATCAGTAATTAACTAAGGATGAATAATCATTTGAATCTTACAAAGGTATATTTTTTCCTTCAAGGAATACTTGGTATGGATTTTTTTAACAAGTATGTTAGAGTGTGGTACAATACAGCAACAAAATGAATATTCAAGCTACACTTGCATGGATGGAAATAGAGTAGGGGATAATCATTAATTTTCATCTGTAAGATTTCTAAATTTTTTAGGTGAACTTATACTTTATATTCTGAATCACATTTTAATGACTCTTTAAATGAAAGTCTTTATAGGTTATTTTCATTTTCATATGAACTTTACCAGGAAGCGAGTTCTTGTTTTCAGAATCTAAGCTCTTTGCAAAGTAGTCTATAAATCACCCCATTGTAGCAGGCTAATATTTTTTAAATTATTAAGCAGTAATATGTCCAGTTATGAGTACAATTCATCTTGGTCACTGTCGCCCCTTTCATTTTTCTCCTCCATCCCCCTTGTCATACCTGCCCTCAGTTATGTAGTCCATTTTTATGTAGTATACATTGAACATGATTGCCTTTGCTTGCCCCTCCTCCCTCTATTTATGCATTGAACATGATCGCCTTGCTTGCCCCTCCTCCCTCTATTTATACATTGAATATGATCGCCTTGCTTGCCCCTCCTCCCTCTATTTATACATTGAATATGATTGCCTTTGCTTGCCCCTCCTCCCTCTATTTATGCATTGAATATGGTTGCCTTTGCTTACCCCTCCTCCCTCTATTTATGCATTGAATATGGTTGCCTTTGCTTGCCTCTCCTCCCTCTATTTATGCATTGAATATGGTTGCCTTTGCTTGCCCCTCCTCCCTCTATGCACCTCCCTGTCATGGTTCCTACCACACGTTTCCATTTCCTGCTATTCATTTTGTAACTGGCTAATTTTTAAAGATAATTTTAGAAACATTTAACTTTTTTTTAAAAGGAAGACTTTTTTTTGGAAAAGACTATTTTTTTTTTTGTACATTGAGTAAAGGCTTCCCTCTGCATGAAATCTGCAGGGATGATACCATTTGGAGAGCTTCTTAGGATTTGATTCAGAGAAACATCCTCCATTAGACCACAAAACAAACGTTTGGAACTCTAAACTTTGGTTTTCTCATTTGTCTATAATCAGCCTCTAATATGTTGCCCAGCATGGAGAAGATACTGGTGAATGCCTCCTGCATAAGAACACTGGCACTGCTGGGCATGTGGCTTAAGCCTGTAGTCCTAGCTACTGGAGACAGATTTGAGGGACTGCAGTAAGAGGCCAGCCTAGGCATAAATATTGGCAAGACTCCATTTCAACCAGTGGCTGAGTATGTGCCCATTATCCCAGCTATGAGGGAAGCACAGCGGCTGGGAGCAGTGTACACACTGGCATCTTGTCCCCTGAGTCGCGGGAGGAAGCACATCTTTATGCTCCCCTTAGTCACAGCCTAGGCCATTCTGGGTAGGCAGTGAGATATTACCTCAAAACTGACCAATGAGAACAGGGGCTGGTGGGCGGCATGAATGCCTGATAGCAAGGATAAAGCCCCCAGTTCAACCTCTAGTTCTGCCCTGCAAGGTTCCTAATTGCCATGAAGTACATTGTTGCCATCAACGATATTATATCCACACGTGTTTTCCAACTCTTAAAAGGAGTGGAATTGAAAAATACTGCCCTTTTATATGGATAGATGGTGCTCGCTTCGAAACTATAAAACATTCAAGCAATCAAAGCTTATGAAGAACTGTGCCACAGTGTGCAAAAGACAAAATGGATTTTCTTTGTACAAATGGGTCTTAATCCATAGCCAATGAATGGATTCCATAAGGTCCAACTCCAAAAAAGGAGTGCAAAGGACTGCTCTATGTACACAATTTTGAAAAAATTCAGAGCTGTTATTCTGATCACAAAGCTAAGACCTCCTGCTAAACAATTAGGAGACTGCTGCCAATTAAGAATGCAAATTTAAATACTACACATGTACATTTAGAGAAAGCCCAGGTCAGAGGAAGAGTTTTCGCTCCTTCAGTTGTGAAGGTGGATGATCATAATAACCCCGTGAGGCTTAGAAAGAGAACTGTAAAATATCTAACTTCACAGGCTTAAAATTTAATGGAAATATATGATTATTCTGCTACGTAGACATAACAATAATACATTAGTTAGAAGATCAATGCTAGGTCTATAACTTAAACACACACATGCACATATACACACAATGTACACATGCCATAATGCTTTCACTATTACTCTATGTGTGCTAATCTTTTCAGGACATTGCCCTTTAAGCATAGAACTACTTTTTAAGTCAAAACTTGTAGAAAAAAAGGAACATGTTAAAATTGCTTTTTTTTTGGGGGGGGTCAGTCGTGGGGCTTGAACTCTGGGCCTGGGCACTGTCCCTGTGCTCTTCAGCTCAAGGCGAGCGCTCTACCTCTTGAGCCACAGCACCACTTATGGTTTTCTAGTGAATCTCACGGACTTTTCTGCCTGGGCTGGCTTTGAACCATGATCCTCAGATCTCAGCCTCCTGAGTAGCTAGGATTACAGGCATGAGCCACCGGTGCCCAGCTAAAATTGCTTTTTTATTTCACTTAATCATCCTGTTTCCAGATCTAAAAATATCCATTTTAAAACTGAGTTAATGGTCTTGAGTTTAGTCAACCATAAGAGGACTCTTACTTACCCCTAAAACAAGAGTATCTGCTGTAGAGAGTTTTGAATTCTTACATCCCATACTACCGGCATTTCCTCTAGTTGATTTTTCTTCTAACTTCTGGTGATATCTTTATTAGTAAACCTCTACAAAACAATATAAACATACATGCATGGTTTTCACAGAGGAAAACTTAAATTTCATTCTTTTTTTGATAACAACCTTCATGACATAATAGTTTCTTCTTTTTATGTTTTTATTCTTTGAGGGATTAACTTACATCTATTTTGAATATCAACCCCAATAACTGAAAAGAAAAAGTATGAGTGTATCACAGATACTACTTCTTGGTAGTTAGCAATGTCTATAGACAGTGCAGTGTAAGAACAACTAGAGAATAATATTAAGAGAATTTTAAATAAGGCTTTCAACAATTCATTTGCAATTCATAATCAACTCAATACAATTCATAGTGCCCAGTTTGGAATTTTGAAACCAAATTATTGTATTTAAAGGTGTCAAAAATATGGGCGGATGGGTGTTTTTCTCCTGACACATGCCTGCTACCTAGTTCTTTTTTTCTTTTTATTCGATTTGTATCGTCTTTAAGTAGATATACAAAGGAGTTGCCCATTTAACAAAAGTTTACAAAGTATGCTTTATTTCATTAAACTTGTAAAAGTTGTGTCCATAATCCTAAATGGTGCTCTTGTTTTACCTGTTATTGTATTTCTTTCTAATGTGTTTAGATTATCTTCAGCGTTTTATTAAGATAAAAATTGGGCTAGTAATTATACTCTTGGTGGAACTGTATTCTTTTATTGACCTGATATTCTGGAAGATATTTTGACAAAATGACATTGTGTGATTAAAATGGAAAGACTTGAATATTTTAATGACTCTTTAATTTCTAAAATTTATTTTTGAAATGTCACTTAATGGTATGAGAGCTAATAATAGCAAAAGAGCGCAAACAAGTAAGCTTTATAGATTCATACACCATCTTTGAGAAAAAACTAAGACAGGATTTAGATTTATAGACAGCCAAGTTTAATTACTAAGATGAAAAAATAAAAAAAATCATAGAACTATAGAATTAATGTAGGGTAATAATAAAAAGAATAAAAAGGCATTTCTAGATTGCTATTTTTGTTACTTTTCAGGGAGGATGTCTGAAGTGTTTTTGTGTATACAGTTAAATTTCTTTCAAATTTGTAGTTTAGCATTGGTAGCACCATGAAGTGACTTGGGAAATAAACTGTTTTCCATCACCAGAATCTCTATCAGCTCACCAAAGCATTCCAGGTGAAGTAGTCATAAATAAGTTAACAATAAAAGCATGTATTCATGTGTTTAAAACCTTCAAGTTAGGGGCTGGGAAGTTGGCTCAGTGGTAGAGCACTTGCCTTGCATGCATGAGGCCCTGGGTTCGATTCCTCAGCACCACATAAGCAGAAAAAAAAAGCTGGAAGTGGCGCTGTGGCTCAAGTGGTAGAGTGCTAGCCTTGAGCTGAAGAGCTGAGGGACAGCGCCCAGGCCCAGAGTTCAGGCCCCACGACCGACCAAAAAAAAAAAAAACCCTTCAAGTTAGTTCTTGGAAGAAAGAAGTACTGGAGTACATCTACTCAATAACTAGTGGGAGTTCTTTCTGAAAACACTTTTCTTTTTCTTTGTTTTCTTTTATTTGTTATTGTTTTGATATAGGTTATTACTATTGTTTAGGCTGACCTTGAACTCTCCATCTTGCCTCAGCCTCCCCAGTGCTGAGATTATAGGTATGTGTTTCACACTTGGATTAAAAATATATTCTGTCTTTGGGTACTCTAAAACAAAATAAGCATTGCAACTACAAATAAATAAATAATCAATTTTTTAATGCTGGTACTTGAGCTTGAACTCAGAGCACGGGTGCTATTCCTTAGCTATTTTGCTCAAGGTTGGCACTCTAGCATTTGAGTCACAGCTCCACTTCTGGCTTTTGGTGGTTATTTAAGAGTCTCATAGATTTTTCTTTCTGGTCTGACTTTGAACTGTGATCCTCAAAATCTCAGACTCTGAGTAGCCTGGATTACAAAATTAGGAATCATTTGTTTTTGTGGTAATCCTATCACTAATTCAAGGTAGAACAATTTCCTAGTCATATTCCTAACCCACTGTCATCTTCTCAACTTTACATAGAAATCCTGCAACAGTTACAGCTATCATTTACCTTTAACTTCTCTAAGCAGAGATGTAATCAGTGCCTATCTCCAGATAAAAGTAAAATAAATAAATAATTAAAAAATAAAATTAGGCTGGCTACCTGTGGCTCATGCCTATAATCCTAGATACTCAGTAGTCTCAGATCTGAGGTTCATGGTTCAAAGCCAGTCTGGATAGGAAAGTCCCATAAGACTCTTAAATCCAATAAATTACCAGAAAACTGGAAATGGCTCTGTGTCTCAAGTGGTAGAGCACTTGACTTGAGCTGAAGAGCTCTGGGACAGCACCAGGCCCAGAGTTCAAGTCCCATGACTGTCCAAAAAAATAAAATTAAATTAAAATCAAGAGGATGAAGAAAAGACCAAGTGCCAGTGGCTCATGCCTATAATCCTAGCTACTCAGAAGGTGGAGATTTAAGAATCACATTTCAAAGCCAGCCAGAGTAGTTCTCCAATTAATTAGCAGAGAGGAGTCTTAAGGGAAAACCAACTGAGAGTGCAAATCCCTGAGTTTAAGTACCAATACTGTACACTAGTGCACTCACAAAGCAGCTTCCCAGCAAGTACATAACCCCCTTCACGAACTGTTCTCTTGCCCACTTTGTCAACTCTACCCTGGCCCCTGCCATGTTTCACCCTAACAGCTCCAGTAGTAACCTTCTTTGGAAGTCCTGCCTGTTGGAACTCTGCTTGTTTTCCTAACATTCTGCTTATAATTCCTAACAGTCTCTTACCTGTCCATTTTCAAGGCAGGCTCCTAGCATTGACCTCCCGGAGGAATTCAGTTCCTTATATTCAGGGACAGTACTGGGGCACTATACTGACCACATATACACATGAACCCCTTCCTTTTTAATTTTTTCTGATTGGTGTTTTCGTGACTTATTCACTTGTGGTCACTTTAGTGGGATCGGATAGAAGATTCCAGAGGTAAAAAATATTTTACTTCCTGAGCCACCTTATAGTGATTTCGGGTGAAAAAAAACCGCACCTATATAATAGAGTCCATACTTGATAAAATCAAGAGTGAATGATGGAGTCACGTGCAAGGGACTAAGTCTATAGAACCAGCTATCCAAGGTTGGGAGTTCGAGACCAGTCGGGGAAACACAGTGAGAACCTGCAGATCTAGAGCGATGATCGGATAGTTGTGGATGGGAGAGAGATGGGACTGTGCGTGTCCGTGCACGTACGTGTGTGTGACCCCCCCCCCCCCCCAGTGTTCTGTCTCTATACTTCCTTTATAGCTCCTGACTTCGGGGCCGCCATTACCTTGCATCTTACTGGTTCAAAGTCCCAGAGCCTGGCTTTGCTCTCTCTGGTCCGGCTCCGGCTGAGGCCTACTGGGCCCAGGATGCTCTTCCAGCATCCAGTCCAGGTCCTCACACCAGAGCCTGGCTGAGGAGGCAAATACCTGTCGATGGCACCCTTAGTGCCAGTTCCTCAGCCCCCGCTGCGTGGCCATCACAGGGGGAGCCCGGAGTCCAGCGCCCAGCCGGTCCTCTGGCTCCTCACGCAGTGAGGATTCCCCCCAACGGCAGCAGGGTGGTCCTACTGCGCCTGCGCACGCACGCACGCACGCACGCCCCACGCTGTAAAGGCAGGGTGGAGGAAGTGCGCATGCATGGGAAGATTCACGTGACTCTGCAGGTCACGTGGTGGGCCAAGCTGGCCAACTACTGGTTTGGAGCCTAAAGAAATGGCTCTGTTAAATCTGGGTTCTAAAACGGACCCCTTTTTGGTACATCTCTCTGCATGGCTGCTGCCAAGAGACCCGGGCTTTCACCTTCCCTGTATTCTACGACACCTTAGAAGAGTCAAGAGATGTAAAAGGCAAGACTCTGAGTTAATGGCGCCCCTCGGACCTCCCTCTTCAGTAAGGACAGTGTTCAGTACAGGGAGAGAAGAACCTTTTGACCCATCTGTTGAGGGGGTTTACCTTTCAGATTATATCTACATGGTGTCAGTTTTGTTTTTAATGCAGACAGTGGTCTCATGTTTATGAACAGAAGTAGCAGCTAGGAGAGAGAGAAGAGCTGGAGGAGAAAGTGGGGGCGGGGAGCAAACTGTCCTCCTCCAAGGGCAGACGCTCCAGCAATGAAACACAATGACCTAGCCGTTAAAAAGCCTGGGCAGAAGACGTTCCTTCAACTAAACTTGGATTTCTTCCTGAAAGTTTTCAGTTGGCGTTTGTAGCAAGTTAAAATTCTGATTTTTGCAAATGTGATTATTTAGAGAATGATACCTTTTGCAGCTGGGTGCTGGTTGGTGGCTCCTGCCTGTAATCTTAGCTACTTCAGGACGTTGAGACCTACAAGATTGGGACTGAAAGTCATCCAGGGCAGAAAAGTCTGTGAGACTTCAGGTCCAATTAACCAGCCAGAAAGCTGGCTGGAAGCCTGGCTCAAGTAGTAAAGTAGGAGCCATGGACAAACCAACCAAGTGAGTAGCCCTGACACCAACACAGACGCAAACACAGACACACACACAGAATGTGTATATGTCAGTGGCAAGAGAAGTACTTGAATTTAGTTGTTAGGCGTGTCCCAGGAATGATTCAAAAGAAATATGACTTTTAGGAAGCAAATGTTGCAGAGTATCATGTTACTAAATCCATTATCCACCCTGTAGGGATAGGTAAGTCAGTTTCTTTCATATTTACAAGAAGTTTACTATAGAGGCCATTTTTTTTTCGGGGGTGGGGGCGTTGATTTGGAGTTACAGATCTCTGATTCTATCTTAGTAAGAATACTGGTCAAAAAACCTGTCCACACTTAGTTGTCAGACCACCTGGGCTTAAATCCTTGCTTCACGTTTCACTAACTACATGTTTTATGGAAAGCGTTTTTTTCCTTCTCTGTCAAAGTTTTCTCATCTGAAAATAATGTTAATAGTGGCTACATATTGGTAGTACCTATGGGTGTGTTATTGTATTAAATATGCTAATGTAGGTAAGTTTTTAGAATGTAGAACTTGAGCAAGCAAATTGATATTTGTTTTTGCTTTTATTTTTTTTTTTTCCTGTGGGGAGGTAACTTGGGGTCAGGGATGGAAAGTGGGAAACTGGGGGAAAGGAAAGGAAGGGGTGACATTGTACAAAAAAAGAAATGCACTCATTTCCCACCTTACAAAATGGCAGCCCCTCTGTACAACACAGGAATAGTAAAAATTAAATTATATAAAAAGGCAAATTTAAAAATAGAATAGGCTTGTTAGACATTTATTTTACAAATCGACTTAGAATTGTTGGACATATTTCTGTTCTCTAAAATATGCATAACTTTTATAACTGGTTATTTTAACTCTATATATTTCATGTATATAAAGACATAAAGCATGTACTTTCCAAAATACAAAATATCTCTTCTCATATTTTCTCATATTTTTCCTTCTGTGACTGCGATCTTGCCGCCACTCTTGCCTTAAATATTTGTAACCATCTGACTCCCATCTCCTTTTCCTTCCCCCCTCCTCTTCTTCCTCTTCTCTTCTTTTTGAGATAGAATCTAGCCATGCAGCCCAGGCTGACTGGGCCTTCCAAGTACGAGGATTATAGGCATGTACCATCATACTCAACACTGATACTTAAATTTAAAACTTCGAAATTTTTTTAGATTTAAAACTTCAAAAATCGAATTAAAAACCTCAAAATAATTAAAAAGTAGATTTGGAAACTGCAAAAGTTGTCTGTTTTTTTTTTTAAATTTTTTTTTTTGGGTCCGGTTGTGGGGCCTGAACTCTGGGCCTGGGCACTGTCCCTGTGCTCTTCAGCTCAAGGCGAGCGCTCTACCTCTTGAGCCACAGCACCACTTATGGTTTTCTAGTGAATCTCACGGACTTTTCTGCCTGGGCTGGCTTTGAACCATGATCCTCAGATCTCAGCCTCCTGAGTAGCTAGGATTACAGGCATGAGCCACCGGTGCCCAGCTAAAATTGCTTTTTTATTTCACTTAATCATCCTGTTTCCAGATCTAAAAATATCCATTTTAAAACTGAGTTAATGGTCTTGAGTTTAGTCAACCATAAGAGGACTCTTACTTACCCCTAAAACAAGAGTATCTGCTGTAGAGAGTTTTGAATTCTTACATCCCATACTACCGGCATTTCCTCTAGTTGATTTTTCTTCTAACTTCTGGTGATATCTTTATTAGTAAACCTCTACAAAACAATATAAACATACATGCATGGTTTTCACAGAGGAAAACTTAAATTTCATTCTTTTTTTGATAACAACCTTCATGACATAATAGTTTCTTCTTTTTATGTTTTTATTCTTTGAGGGATTAACTTACATCTATTTTGAATATCAACCCCAATAACTGAAAAGAAAAAGTATGAGTGTATCACAGATACTACTTCTTGGTAGTTAGCAATGTCTATAGACAGTGCAGTGTAAGAACAACTAGAGAATAATATTAAGAGAATTTTAAATAAGGCTTTCAACAATTCATTTGCAATTCATAATCAACTCAATACAATTCATAGTGCCCAGTTTGGAATTTTGAAACCAAATTATTGTATTTAAAGGTGTCAAAAATATGGGCGGATGGGTGTTTTTCTCCTGACACATGCCTGCTACCTAGTTCTTTTTTTCTTTTTATTCGATTTGTATCGTCTTTAAGTAGATATACAAAGGAGTTGCCCATTTAACAAAAGTTTACAAAGTATGCTTTATTTCATTAAACTTGTAAAAGTTGTGTCCATAATCCTAAATGGTGCTCTTGTTTTACCTGTTATTGTATTTCTTTCTAATGTGTTTAGATTATCTTCAGCGTTTTATTAAGATAAAAATTGGGCTAGTAATTATACTCTTGGTGGAACTGTATTCTTTTATTGACCTGATATTCTGGAAGATATTTTGACAAAATGACATTGTGTGATTAAAATGGAAAGACTTGAATATTTTAATGACTCTTTAATTTCTAAAATTTATTTTTGAAATGTCACTTAATGGTATGAGAGCTAATAATAGCAAAAGAGCGCAAACAAGTAAGCTTTATAGATTCATACACCATCTTTGAGAAAAAACTAAGACAGGATTTAGATTTATAGACAGCCAAGTTTAATTACTAAGATGAAAAAATAAAAAAAATCATAGAACTATAGAATTAATGTAGGGTAATAATAAAAAGAATAAAAAGGCATTTCTAGATTGCTATTTTTGTTACTTTTCAGGGAGGATGTCTGAAGTGTTTTTGTGTATACAGTTAAATTTCTTTCAAATTTGTAGTTTAGCATTGGTAGCACCATGAAGTGACTTGGGAAATAAACTGTTTTCCATCACCAGAATCTCTATCAGCTCACCAAAGCATTCCAGGTGAAGTAGTCATAAATAAGTTAACAATAAAAGCATGTATTCATGTGTTTAAAACCTTCAAGTTAGGGGCTGGGAAGTTGGCTCAGTGGTAGAGCACTTGCCTTGCATGCATGAGGCCCTGGGTTCGATTCCTCAGCACCACATAAGCAGAAAAAAAAAG